AGGACTCTGTTCGTCTTCTTGCTGTAGAAGGATGCATCGCAATGGCCGGTCTCCTATCTGAAGATAGTCGGAGAGATCTTGTTCGTCCCGTTTTGAGTGGACTGATTGATGACAAGAGTTGGCGTGTACGGTTTATGGTAGCAGAGAAGCTTACGGAGGTGAGTATAATTGGTTTTGGACCTCAGTCTTGCAAGCTGTTAATATTATTTGCATTGATAGATCCAAGATGCAATTGGTGAGGAAATGACGATGTCGGAGCTGGTGCCAGCGTTTACCAATCTGCTAAAAGATCCGGAAGGTGAAGTCCGTGGTGCTGCGGCACAGAAACTCAACAGTGCGTTTACATTAATTGATTTTTTATTGGTTCCAAGCCTTAGATTAGCTTTAGCAGAGAAACATCATGTTTTTCCATAGCGCTTACAACTCCATTTCGTTGATCATAGCATTACAGCATTTTGTGCGAATCTGAAGAAAAGCGCGAGAGAATCTGCAATCTTGAATAATATCTTACCCGTTGTCAAGGAGTTAGTCACCGATCCAAATCAGGTTTGATCTAAACTTGGTAGTTGTCTCCTACTTTATCTTCGTAACTAAGATCTTCTAGCATGTAAAAACTGAGCTTGCTGGTGTCATCATGGGTCTCGCTCCTCTTGTTGGGAAGGAAAACACGATATCGCAGTTGTTACCTATATACATGCAATTACTGAAAGACAGCACGGCTGAAGTTCGACTGAATATCATAAGCAGCCTTGATAAGGTAACTTAACTTCATACCGATACGATTTTACGTTGAGCTACCTGCGATGTTCAGGTGAATGACGTCATAGGAGCCTCTCAACTTTCACAGTCACTTTTGCCAGCCATCGTCGAACTAGCCGAAGATGGCAAATGGCGCGTGAGATTAGCTATCGTGCAGTTTATGCCCTTGCTTGCAGCACAATTGGTGGGTTCACCCAACTTTTCTTTTTTTGTTGCTTTTTTCGAATACAATGATCCAATGTGCTCTGTAGCAAGTTTTTAATTTGGCTGTTTTTGCCCTATTTTATGAACTTCAGGGTCAGCAATTTTTCGACGAAAAAATGTTGCCATTGTGTCTCAATTGGCTATGCGATCACGGTTAGTCAGCTTTCACGGGTTCTCCTTCAAATTCTTTTTTTTTCCTGCAGTGTATGCGATCCGAGAAGCTGCCACCATGATTCTGACTGAACTTGCTGGGAAGTTTGGCGGAGAATGGGCGACAAAAAATATTATGCCCAAGGTTCTTACTCTATCCAAGGTAAAATTATACGAGACATGTTTCTGTATCATCGTATTGGCAAATCTCAGGATCTCAACTACTTACATCGTATGACTTGCCTGTTCTGTTTGAATTCTCTTGCCGAAGCTGTGGGAGCGGAGCAGACTGCGAAAGAAATCATGCCAGTTATTAAAGAGGTATGTTTTTGGCAGTGAGCGTTTTCATCCGTACCCAGTCATCCGCGCTGTCAAACGCGCCACATTTTTTTTT